GCAAGCTTTTCTATCTCAACTCAATTACGGCTCTTTATGCAGGAAAGACTGGTTCAAGGCATTTGGGTCAATTTATTGCTAGTTCACTATATAAAAAAAAGACATGGCGTTGATTCGGGTACTGTCGTAATGGAAGCTGACTTTGCTCCTCACTCCATTTGTGTTTGCCATTGATGTATTCATGCATATGTACCTGTGTATATATACCTGGCGAACGTGCCAGTTATGCCTAAAGCAGCAAAGGAAAGGCCGACATCACGTACGATGTTGAGTCAGGATCATGTGATTTGTTAGCCGTCCATAATAATGTATTATGCCGTTTGAAGACTACCGTGACCGTGCTTGTTCTGCAGTCATTCATGTACACTATCACTGCAATCATCCTGCTCATCACACAAACTTTGTTGGGCCAGCGAGCAGTAGAAAGTGGTTATGACCCAGTGCCGAGATGCATAGGTCAAGTACGATGTGAGAGCAGGAAAGCCAGCTTACTGGAGTAGTGGAATAACATTACATAGTCCCTCACGTGACTACACAAGTTTAGATCTTCAGGGAGCACACCTGAAAGTTTGGCAATGGATATGTGATAAAAGAGATGAGAATGTCGCGCTATACTCTACCATGATTTTCAAAACACTAGCAGAGTACATACACTTCACATACTCTACTAAGACCTTTTGTTCAAGAGGATTCGATCATATTGCAACTGCTATCGCTGATGGAAGTATTGATATCAGTGGTGTTGCGCTGGTAACATTGCATCGACGAGAAATTGTATTTTTTTAGGACACTTTTCACGGATAGCTTTGTGATTATAATGAAAACTCCAGAAACATCCACAACAGCAACATCCAATGTTTTATCTCCATTTGATTCAGTGACATATGGCTTGCAATCTCTGAATATGGATTAATTAGTGCTACTTTACTATGCTATATGAATCACCAAGCACATAGGAAAGAAAGCAGGAGAACGTGGTACAAGAAACTTGGCTTCTTTTATAACTAACATTGGAACATATGAATAACATATTTGGAACATTTGTCAATCAAGGTGGCACATATTCCAGTCCAAGCACTGGTATTCGTGTGTTTATCAGCTGCTGGTGGACATTCGTGATTGTGATGGTCGGAACATACAGTGGAACATTGGTGAGCCATCTCTCAGTGCAGACAACTATTGAATACCCGTTCACAAGTCTAGAGGACGCAGCAAACAGCCACCTGACTCCCACCGTTGTGCGGGGATTTAGCCACGAAAACCTGCTACAATACTCTGATCCAGATTCCACCTACGGCAAGATGTGGCGCAAGGTACTGGCTGATCCACAATCAGTTGTGTCTACAGTGAATGCATCGATTGACTCAATCCTAACCGGCAAGTATTCACATTTCTTACAGCAACCACTGCAGTGCCTCATATCGAAGCAGATATTAAAACGTCTAAAAAATGTCGACTTATGATTGCATCGTTTCATTTCGAATATCTAAACACCGCTTTGGCAATGTCAAATACCAGCAAGTATTTCAGAGCCTTAAACACTGCATGGAATGCAGCTTGTTACTGAGAGTGCATGGTCTCATGCAAAAGTGGAGGACTGTACATTCAACGCACCTTCAGAAATGTGCCAATACAGAAATATAGGTGAAATCCACTTCTCTGCCTCTAAAACAGATGCACAGTGTATTTATACTACTCATTTGTGGCCTCGCTACCGCAACTGCTGTTCTGATAGGCGAGAAATTATTCACAATATATTTTGTAACTAAAGAATGTCAATTCAAGATGAATCGAAATGATCAGTCACGATTCAAATTTGCCACGAAATTGACAAATTAGCCAAACGTATGATACAAAGTAAGATATCTACCACCAATCCTCTAGTAGGTGTTTTCCACAGTTACTGCTGTACTCCATCTTATTGTTGTTGAAAGCATGTTACTCTTAGTTTTGTTAACATGTTAAAAGCTTTCACAACAGATTAAAAGAAACACAGAGAAGGAATGATGGGAAGGGAGAGGAATAGGGAAGGGACGGAGAGGAATTGGAAAGGGACGGAGAGGATGAAGAAGAGATAGTCATATTAATTGCTGAATAATAATTCTATAAGTATTTACATTGTTATTAATTATCTAGTCTTGATTGAATTTTCAAGCATTCCAAAATATGTGTTAAAAATAATTGACAAATATTGCTGCACACGAGCATGTGCACGAATGACTGTCAGTGTGTGCATGTCTGCGTATTAATTGATTCAATATGGTTTCGGATTTTCAATAAAACTCGTTCATGATATAGTTTACTACTCTGAGTTATAGTAATGTATGTAAATATGTGCTTATATAATATCATCATCATCATCATCATCACGATGATAATAATGATAAGATCAACATGTCAATAAATTTACGACATGGGTGCACATGCACACACAAGCACATGGTGAACTGCTGCATCTAAAGTTCTGTGCACTAGCCCTAACCCCTAACCCTTCACACTTTGATACCTCCACACTTAATTACCATACCTTCACACCACATCTCCTCTCTTAATTAATTTATAAAATATTATTATTAAATTATTAAGAGAGGAATGTGGTGAAGGATGGTATTAATTTGGAGGTACAAAGTGTAAGGTGGGTAGTCTAGTGCACGAACTTATGATGCAGCAGTCCATGTGTTTTACTGTGCTGTGTGCCGCATGTCGGACTAATTTATACATTTGATCTTTCATTATATCTCGTGATTGTGATGATGATGTATTATTAAGACATATTTACATACTACTAGAATCGAGTATAAACTATATCATGAACGGTTTTATTGAATAATCCGAAACATATTGACATCAATACTGCATAATGCCCGACAGTCATCTTGCAATGGTCTGGTGCAGCATGTGTCATATTTTACAATTGGAGATAATGCTTGAAATTCATCAAGACTGATAGATGATAACAATATGTAATCGGTGATAAATTTATCAGCAATATTATGACTATTGTTATTTATCCTCTCGTCCCATTCTATTCTCCATACTTCCCTATTCTATCCTTCTTTATACTCTCTGTGTTTTTTAACTGTTGTGAGCTTTTAAATTTATCAAAACTAGACTAATGAGCGCCACTATCGACGCGAGCGTGTTTGAATGCTTACATTGGTTTGAGATGTCTGGTTTGGATCGGAGGTTTAGTTTGGTGAGGTATTTTGGCCGATTCGAATTTGAATCTGGGAGCGATCGGTGGATAGGTGTGGGGATTACGAGCGTGGATAGGGTGCCGTGGCATCCGAGGTGTTTGTGGTGGTACTCCCCGTCACAAGCGTGAAGAAAATTGGAACTAATAAGGCCCCATGACGCATTCGAATTGAATGGCTTCAAGCATACACTCCGACCCTTAGTACCGCTAAATCGCTTGAACGCACGAGAGTGCCATGGTTTGCGTATTTGTCGACGTGTGCCCGGTTTGTTCTTTTTTTTGAGCGGGTCGATAGGTGCGGGTCGTTATATGCTGTTGCATATCTTACGCAGAACTGTTATTTTTTTTTTTTTCCATTTTTTTTTTATATTTTTTTTTTTTATTTTATTGTTTTTCATTCTGTTTGTTTTTTAGTATTTTTGTCAATTTCGTTGCAATTCTTGAATCCGTGACTGATCATTTCGATTCATTTTTTTTGGTTTGTATGTATTTGTTTTTTATTATTATTGTGTTTCTTCCAGAACAGTGTTTCGTACCTGTTTTTTTTTTTGGTTGTTTGTGTTTGATTTGTTGTTCCGCCACAAATTTTTTAGTAAAAACATGTTGAATCTGTTGGAGTGAGAAAGTGGATTCACCATTTCTTGATGACTATTTCAGATGAAGTGTTCCGTTGAATTACTCCTGCACTGTTGCATGAGCCATGCATTCAGAGTAACAACGAGTCCATGCGTGTTTAAGTGCTTGAATACTTGCTGTATTGACATTGCCAAGCGGGTCGTGTTTAGATTCGAAATGAATGGATGATCATAGTCGACTTTTAGACCTTTATATCTGTTCATATTAGGACTGCAGTGTTGCTGTAAGAAATGTGAGTTACTTGGCGTATTAGATGAGTCAATCCGATCTTCACTTAGACAAACTGTGAGGATACTATACTTGCGAATGACCGTAGTGGAATCTGGATCGGTATTGTAAAAGTTTTCCCCCGTTGCAACCCGCACAACTGGTGGGCAGGTGCTGTTTGGCTGCGTCCTCCTAGATTTGTGGACGGGTATTCATTAGTGTCTGCCTGAGAAATGGCCTACAATTCACGTATGTTTCCGACCTAAATCACGACATGTCACAAGCAGTTGATAAACACGATACCAGTGCTTGACTGGAAAGTGAATTGATTGACAGTTCAAAGTATTGGGTTATTCATATTGCCAATGTAGTTAAAAAAGCCAAGTTCTTTGTACCGTTTCCGCTTTCTGTCTAGGGCTTGGATGATTCATATAGCATAGAGTTATCACTAATTATCCAATATTCAGGATGCAAGCCATTTATGAATCAATATGAGATAAATTGGATGTGCTGTGGAGTTCTGGATTATATAAACATAACCTATCCGTTGAAAAGTGTCTAAAAAATACAATTCTCACGATGCATTGGTTACAGCTGCAACCAGGATATCATACTTCACCCG